ATTCCTTTAGAAATAGTATTTTTATAGTCTATATATTTAAGCTGAAATAAGCAGAAAGGCATGTCAGTTTAATAATGAGATGAAAGAAATCCTGCTCATTTAGAGTTATTTAAAATCAGTAAGGCCCCATTAGCCTTGACCTAACCTAAGCAGTCCAAACTAGTGCCCAAGTGATTTAAAACAAGTGAAAGCAAATTTTGGCCACTATTAGCTTGAATAACTACAACTGTTTAGTTTCAGAAGTCTTTGGTTTTAGACAAATCAGTGCCTGTCAAATGCAGATAATAGCTCTTGAATGATTCAACAATGAATATGTAAGTACTGTGCAAAGTTTATGGTGTTTTAAAAATGTAAAATAATATTTTACCACTCCATTAATAATACCAGAGGGATTCAAGTTAAATAAATTAGAATTTAATCTTATATAAGGAGTAAGTAGGTAAACTCCAGCTTGAGTACTCCATATGCTCATATCTTCCTTTTAACTACTAAGTTCTTTCAACCCCATTTATAATTACTAAAGGAGAAAATTTCATTGTGTAGTAAAATCCAAGTTTCTTTGTTAAATGAAATATGCCAGCATTTCCCATCAGCAATTCAAAAAGATCTACAGTCTTACTTTCTTTAAAATTAAAATTCTTTATAACTGTAACATTAATAAATTTCTGCTCTAAGTACATCTGCCACAAAGGAGTAGTATACATACTTTTAGCCTACAGAAGACAGGCTTGGTTAAAAGAGTAAGAACTTTAGAATGCTCATGCTAGCAATTCCTATCATAATTCAGGTATGTGAATGCATGTAGATGAAAATAATGGGAGCATATGTAAGAAACATCACTTCTTATGAATTTACTTTATACTTGTCCAGGAGAGAAATTTAAAACGAAACCAAGAAGAACCATACAAAATCAAAGTTTACAAAATGAAAGCAATTCCATATGCAAGAAAATAAAAAGGCTTAGATACACATTTACTGTAATGAAAAGATGTTAATTTTCACTGAAAAAGGTTACAAACAGTATTCCTATTACCCCACATAAAAATATAAATAGATATGTACATAAAATGTGTATCTACTTCTGCAGCATTATACACATATTAAAATCTAGTTGTAGAGATACACAATAAAATCTTAGTGGTAATTAACCTAATCTTCAAGTGGCTGGATTAGAGAAATTCATCTAGCTGGTAACATATAGATGATGATAATCTGCATAAAGAGAAAAATATTGTAAAGTAACCCAAAGACTGTTACAGAGCTGAACTTCCAGCTCAGGATTCACTAAGGGGCTTAGAAATAGACTTGTTTTGTTTTTAACTATGCATCCAGCATTTAGAACAGTGTCTGGCCTATAGGAAGGACTTGTTGAGGCATTGGCTGAAGGAATAAACTGAATTGGAAGGCGTAAAAATAACAGAGGCAAGGAGATCAGGTAAGAAACTACAATGAGGTCTGGACAAGGAATACAGGAACTAAAATTAAGTGAGGACAGAGAGAACTAAATAAAGGGTTAAAAGAAGTATCCCAGGAGGCTTTCCAGTCACACAGAAATCCCCAGATCACAGAGAATGTTTTAACAATATTTGACCTAGAGCATTCATCATTTAACTTAAACAGTCACTCATATATCATTACCTGTTCATTAAAAATGTTAAAATAAGTGTTAACATAAGAAGAAGAAAAGAGGACTCACCAGGATATTGTTTTGCTGTTAACTCTAGTTTATGAGACAGCAGCATCGCTCCAGTAGTGTTGTCTATTGTATAAACCAGTACTGAGCCACTGTGGAAAAACAAACTTTTAATGAAAAAAGATAAACATAAATACAAAAAGCATTATTATGGGAACTATTATGTTCTGGTAGGAGAGTAAACTTGAAGAAAAAAAACCCACATTGTAAATAACTTTCAGTTATCTCATAAATTTGAACAAATACATATTCTGTAATCTACCCATTTCATCTCCCAGAATATATCCCAGAAGTTTTCTTCTCTACATTTATGAAGAAACATGTACAATGTTCATTATAGTATTGTGTATATATGCAAACAAACAAACAAAAAACAATCTGAACATCCAGCAGTAAAAGAAAGGAAAAATAAAATGTGGTATATTCACATAGTAGTATCCCATGCAGCACTCAAAATGAGCAAGCCTTAGGCACATGCAATACAATGGATAGCAAATATACACATACATGTAGTATAATTCTTTGTCTATACAGTGAAAAACATTCAAACCATAGTAAATACATTTGTGTGTAAAAATACTACAAAAGGCTGATATATATGTATTCCAGATTAGTAACTATCTTGGTGGAGTTAAGGTAGTATTAAAGAAGAAGGCAAGTAGGGGGCTTCATCAGCACTGGTAACATGCTATTTCTCACGTTAGATGGTAATCTATACAGATCTCCATTTTACTGTTTTTTATATCTTATTTTTGTATCTATACATGATACATGCTCTTTTGTGTATATAGTGTATATAATTATTTCATTTAAGAAATTTCTACAAGGGTCAAATTTATGAAGGTCCAGAAACCAAAACTGTATTATATTACTATATATATATATATATACGTGTGTATGTGTGTGTGTATATATGTATGTGTATATACATGTATGTTACTTATAACTACATATATTCTAAGCCACATTTCAAAACTGAACTATAACAATCATAAAAAAATACCATTCTGCTTATATACCTATTTTCAAATAAAAAATACAACGTTTTGAAATTATTTTTAAATCCAAGGCTGCTTTTGCACATATTAGGATGTGTTCCTTCATGGCAGGAGAAGTCAGATGGGTTCCCCACAAGCTGCTTTGATTCATTTGTAGCAAGGCCCAACTCTTCTCAAGGATCAGGACCGGGACTAAATAAAATACTTGAAATAATATGCCACTTGAGGTCATCCCACAGCTCACTGAAGCTCTGTACTTAACTCCTTTTTTTGTGTTTCATTTTGGGTAATTTCTCTTGTTATGTTCTAAGTTTATCGATCTTTTCTTCTGCAATGTTTGATGTGGGTCTTTTTTAGAACTTCCATGTTTAATACTCAAAAGGGAATCTCTACAGCTCTCTCTGTACCCCTGTCCTCTTTGGTGTCTGTCCTGTGAGCCCTAGCTGCTTTGGTCTCTTCATGTTCTCATTTCCACATATTCAACTCAGGGGATCTGCCAGGCTCTGTCCCCCAACCTCATTGTTGTGCCCTGGAACCTCTCTCAAAGCAATTAAACCTGGGACATTTGTAGAATTTTCTTATTTTGTTTCTCATCTTTCAGGGATCACTGTCCTTTGTTGCCTGATGTCCTATGTCTTGAATTCGAAACACCTTTTTAATATTTTTGTCCACTTTCATGGTTTTTTCAAGTGGGAAAGGAAATCTCATCTGTTATTCCATCTTAGTCAGATGCCTGGATAGGTATCTTTCCAGAGCTCCTACCCAACAGGCACTTTGCTGAAAGGCAGCATGAAGTAGCCAGGAGGTATTACTTGCTTCTGCTTTCCATTTGACAATTCTCAAGTGCTGCTCTGGGTTGCTGAGCTCTAACAAGTCAGTGAGGGCTTGAATTATATTTCTAATATAAGTAGCAGCTGCTAAGCCAACACTTACAAAAGATGGACAATTACCCTTTTAAGTATTCTACAGAGCCAATATTCTTTAAATTATTTTTCTTTGCATTTCTCATTAGCACATTATAAGAGCAAAACTTTTTTCATTTAAAAGATACACTTCCTTATTTCAAAGCAGAAAACATTTCTATAATAAAGATACGGCTATTTTCACCATAATCAAAGTTAACATTATTAATACTGGGACAACTCAACATTGATTGTTGCATGATGCCATAGGAAGTATACAACATCACACTTGACAAATCTGTTTAACAAGAAATCTAATCAAACCTTTAAATATAAAGGTAAGAGTCAGACTGTAACACTGATTCCTCTTCAAAATGGCATCCTATAAGAAAACTGGCTTCTAACAGAACTCTAAGGGCACCAGCTACAGTCTAGTGCTCAACATGATTAATCCTGGTTTGTGCTGGCAAATCAGGGCTAGACGTTCCTGGTCTGTTTTGTCACACAGCTACAACCAAAAAACTTTTACCCTAATCCATTATCATGCCAGGAAAGGCTAGAACTCTCTCAACCAATGACAGTAGAGATGACTGAAACACTGAAGGCCAAGGCTCCACCTCCGTCATCCTGGGGAAGGGCCAGAGTACCTCTCCCAGATTCTAACATAAGGCCGTGCTAGACTCCTAGGTGCTATCCCTGAATGTAGGCAATATAACAGCATATCTGCCATTGCTCCTGTTTCTTTGAGTTTCTTCCAATGCTTTTCTAGTCATTTGACCATATGGGCACAACAAGAATGGGCTTCAAGGTTCCAGTCGTTACAGGTGACTAACACTAATTAAATGCAATTATGAGGAAAATAATGGGACAAATTTAGGATGTATAACATTCTATCAACAACTGATCTGCACTCAAAAAAGTTAATGTCATGAAAATGAGAAAGAAGGTGTAAAGAATGTTATAGGCAAAGGTGACTGAAGAGAGATAATAGCCAAATGCTAACTGTGGTCAATTCTGGTAGGAACAAAAAAGCAGCAAAAGAAGTTTTGGTGCCAAATGGGTTAATCTGAGTATGAACTGAGTATTAGATCTTATTAGGGATTTATCTTTAATTTTCTCATGTGTAATAAAGATACTGAGTTCATGAGTGTTTCTTTTCTGGAAACCAAGTAATAATGTAAATGTTCATTAACAGCAAATCAATAAATTATGGTATTTTTGTATGCTAGAACACTATTTGAAAATCATTAAAAAAAAAACCCACAAAAACAAATATGATTTCAGCTATTGGCAAACAACATGGACAAATTTCACAATGTTGACTAAAAGAAGCAAAACACAAAATACAGGATGTGATTATAGTCATGTCAAGTTCAAAATCAAGTAAATATATATTATATTCTTTAGGAATGCATATATGGATGGTAAAACTATAAAATCAAGGAAGTGATTATCACAGAAGATGAAGATTGGATATAAGTAACTTGAGGTGAGAATGGGAGTTGTGATTAGAAAGTAGAAGGGGTAAAACTTGTATCAGCTGACAAAGTCCTATTTCTTGACCCAGTTGTGGAAAAAAGACAGGTGTTTATATTATAATCACTTATAAAACTGTGAATATTTGATTATGCACTTTTCTCTAAGTATGTTTTTATTTTATAATATGAAAAGTTGACAAGGATATTATAAACCTTAGCCAATATATCTGACAGTGTACATGAAAGAAACCAATTCCTAGAAAAATGTAACTTTTCAAAATGACTTAGGAAGAGATAAGAAAATCTAAATCTTCTAAAATCTATTTTTAAAACTGAATTCAATCAGTAATCCCAAAGATTCCCACAAAGAATATGAAAAAAAAGCTTTTCCTTCTGTCTTGTATTAAGTTAAATTTCCTTTTATTTCTACATTTATCTCCCCTGTAAGATATTAAGGATGAGGATCCCCACTTTACAAAGAAATTTAGAGTGTAATGAAGTGATTTATAACATGTTTATTACTTATACTAATAGAAATAGTTTTATAGTTGACATAGCTGAAGATTTTACTAGATGTATGGTCTATAGAATCATTAAATCTCATTTGGATGGTAAAATGGAATTTCATATTTGAGTTTTGAAGGCTAAAAAGCACTATACACATTATAAGGCATTACTGTAATTATCTGATATAATTTTTTTATTTGAGCTTAAACATAAGTTTGACAGTCAGGTCTGTTGTTTTCTAATGTACCCAAAGTGCTTAGAATTGAGCTTGGTGCATGGTAGACACACACATATTTGTTGAATGAATAGTTTGCATTCAACTTTACTTCTAAAACCTGCATTATTTGAATTAAAGCAAGAAACTGATTTTATGTATAAGTTTTAAATATACTCATTAACTAAGGCATAACCCACTAATTCAAAGGCAATGTTAACACTGATGTCTTAAAAAGAAAGGATTATTTTTAAAAGTGAATAAACATCTTCCCGAATCACTTTTAAGCAACAAGGAACCTAAATTTTAATTGATTTAATCTTTTCAACCTCTAACCAAATTTCCTACCACTGAAGAAAATGGTCCCTTTTACAAATTAAAACAATCTCCCAAATCTGCCCTTTAGATTTGTTTGCTTCAATCTAATGAAGTACTATTTGCTTTCATATAAAGGCTGACTCATAAATTATAATAGGTATGACAAGGTTTACAAGTGTGTTAAGAACATCTTATGTTTAAAAATCATTATTTTTGGCAGTAAGTCTCAAAACACAGAAGTCTGTATCAATTACCTTGTACAACCAAATGCCATTAGTCGATACTTGTTATTTACCGCTACACAAGTTCCATCAGTAACATCTTGTGGCCAAACTCCATGAAGCTGCTAAAAGAAAGAAAAACAGTTAAGGTTTAAAAAGTGTTTTCCAAAATATACAGTCATCAGTATAATTCGACTTCAGTAAACACACAGTGCTACAGTTTATTTGGTTTCACTGGTGTAGGAAAATATCCTATCAGGACTATCTGAATTTTCTCCCTTAAAACCTAAGTGTAGGGAAAATGGACATATCACGGTCAGGATTCTCACTTCGCCTGATTCTTATATCACCCATTGTATACGTACAAGCCTGCTTGCACACCTGTTGGGCAGTGAGATGTTTACCTGCCAATAAAGCCTCACCATAAAGAATGTCCCATGTAATCCCACCCAGTGCTCGGATGCTGCCAGAGGGAAGCCAGGGAGCCCCGGTGCTAGAAGGAAGTAGCAGAGGCCCATGATGGGGAACAGGAGGAGCAGGAGTTGGAGCCACCACCAGGGGCAGCATGCTGGGTTATAGAGGCTGTAGCCTGGCCAGAGATGGAAACCAGCTTAAAGTTTGTACATAGCCGGGTGACTACCATGAGAATAAAGCTTGGTATGAGCCCCTTTAAACCCCCAGTGTTCCAGCGCTGTTATTCGGTCTCATCGAATTGATAGTGAACTTGCTCAGAGCAGGGACTCCCCTCCTCCCAGAGCAACAATCAGTTTCATTCATTGGTTCAAAAATAAGCTTGGTCCAGGGCAAATCAACATAATTCTCCTTCGATAAACATACAGTTTCACTATTTGGTTTTATCTGGATAGGAAAATATTCCATCAGGACTACCATCTCAATTTTCTCCCTTAAACCATCAATTTTATTAATTGGTTCAATAATAGTCCCAAATGAATTCACTCTAGTGCTAGTTAATTTATTTATAAAACTAAAAAATGGATATTTCATCTCCAAATTCAAATTAAATGAAGATGATTTTCTGGTTAGAATGCAAACTTTTTGACAGGACGAACTGCATCTAAGTTGCTATTACTATTCTCATCATCCAACACATAGTGTTTAACCTCCCAATCAGTGGAAAATTAAATTTTATTTGGTCTACCCTTTAGAAGCAATTTCTGATTTTCATTTGCTTACTATTCTTTATTATTCCTTTGCTTTACAGTATCATGGTTAATAGCATGGTATCTGGCAGCCTGACAGAACATCTCAGGTCTACAAATTACTTGTTAAAATGGTTATTTAACCTCTTCAAACTTCATTTTTTAATGTAAATTACTTAATGGCAAGCACTCAACAACATTTAATAAATAAATGACATTTTTGTTTATGTGCTATTTTATTCTGTATATAGACACAATAGATTTAGCTCCATTGTCTGTTTTTATTTGTCAAATCAAGGGTGTCTAAATTATAAATGTTAGACTGTTAGGTTTTAGTAAGCACAAAAAAAATAGCACATTATAATATAGCACTTTATTTTTGGATTATTCCACCAGTAAACATTAGAAGGTGCAATATAAATACAACTCTATTTTAAATATACTACCACATATTTCACTTAATTATAACCATGGAATATTTCATTCTCTTTTGTAGGAATTTTTTGTTTTGGTTTTTTCAATTTTAATAAGAAAACTAGACTATTTTTTTTCTTTTTCTTTTTTATTTTAAAGTTGGGGAAATCGCAGGGGTCAGCACATCCGGAGTGCAATGGATAAGCCTCGCCCTGGGAAAACCACCTTCGTGATCATGGTATCTCCCCTGCCAGGTAAGTATAAAACTAGACTATTTTTGATAACCAAAAAGAAGGGTAAAGATAGCATTGAGCATTATTTGTTTATATCACTGCTTAGACTGAAATTCATTCATTCATTTGTATAACGAATATTTTCCAGGTGCCATTATTCACCAGGGGCCACTCTAGGTGCTGAGAATACGGCAGGTATTCAAAACACACCAAAATCCCTATCAGTTTCCTGCCTTGCATTTGTTAGAAGGCTGACAAGTTAAAAAAAAATTATACAGTATTTTGGAGGTTGGTAAATGCTATAGGAAAAAATATAATTTTTTCCTATGGGGAAGAGGGAGTATGGGGGAAGGATGTACTATGAAATAGTTTCCCTATGATACATTTTGAGGAAAGTACTGGAGGAGATATGGCAAGTATAAAGGCCCTATTATAGTACTATTTTTGGCATGTTCAAAGAACATCAAAGACGCCTATGCAGACAGAGTAGAGTGGAATGGGGGAAGGAGACGAGGTAACAGATATAATGAGTCCAGTTTTATAGTGCTTTGAAAGCCACTATGAGAACTTTTTTTTCCCTCCAATTTACATATGGGGAATCACTGGAATTTTAACTTCTTCTGTTATGAATTATAATACATTAGAGAAGAATACACAAAAGAAAAATGTGCATCTCAATAATATCACCACACAAACAGTTGAGGAATTAACACTCAGGTCAAGAATTATTAGTTTCCAAGGGTCCCCCAACTGTGTCCTTCTAATCAATATCCCCTCACTCCTACCACAAAGTACCAATACCCAGCCTTACATGGTAATCACTTCCTTTTCCTTTAGACCATTACCACTAAGTACACATCTAAACACTCTAATTTAGACAGAACTCCCTATGTTTCTACTGTTTCTTTAATTTTAGATAAAATAGAATCAGCACATATTCTTGTGTGCCTAGCTGCTTTCACTCAACATGTTTGTGAGAGGCATCCACAAGTATGCTATTGCTAACAGCCTCATTTGTTCCTGTTCACCACAGCCTCAAACACTTGGGCCTCAGGCCTCCCCTAGCCTGGTAATTCTTTACTGTCTTGTTAGCTCTCCAAAGCTTTTAAGCACATTTTAAAGTATTCTATCTCTAATTTTTCTAGTTTTCTCAGCAGATTTTGTCTTATTATCTAGTCCTACTGAAAGGTTCTGAGCAGAGAGGTGGCATAATCTGCCATATTTTAATCTATCTGTTAAATGTATTATATAAAGAACTTAATTAACACCTAATTTAAATTTGTCATTAGTGTATTTTCCAATTACCAGTAATACATATGCATTGTTTTCTTATAATTCATATTTTCTAAGTAAAATTTACTTATTAATAATGTTCATCTACTTTTCATTACTTTTTAAATCCTTAATTTACTGGACAAATTTAGCCAAATACTAATAAAAGCTGATATTCAAAAGAGGGTCAGTCACTTTTTCAGCTCTAATATTTTTGTTTTCAGTAAATAAATACATTTAAGTCCCAGACATAATTACAAACATATATGCACTGTGTAAAAAAATTTAGTCAAAAGCTTATTTTTATTCTTATTTACATAGTGACATGTTACCATAAATTTATCACTTAGTACCTACTATTTGAAAAGGTGTAAGAGAAAACAGTTACTAGGAATACAGAAGCAGAAACCATACTGAAGAAAATATACCCTTAAAAAGTTAAAATCTTTTCCAGTTAAAGATAGCATGCTGAGCACCAATACTCAGCTTCTTTGACTCTTAAAACCTCAACTTTGATTAACAGAAAAGATTTTTTTCCCCCAAAAAACATAAACTAGCCAGAACAAAGAATGGGCAATAAGACATGAGGAAATCTGGGAAACTGGGAAGCATATGAAAGAGTAGAATCCATAACTGGCAATAAGGAATTTTGGGAAACAGCTAAATTTATATTTTGGGGTACACAAAGGGCTTGGGAATTTAGATGTCTCTGAAAAGCTAACCTAAAAGCAGTAGGACTGGTTCAAGGTCTTTTAAGCGGCAGCTGGGTCTTCCCTTTGCACCTCCCTAAGCTGAGAAGATAAGAAATACCCTACACCTCCACTTCAAGGAAAAAAAAAAACACAAAACGGTTATTTTTCTTTGGTGAAAAACAGAACTAAACAAACCAAACCACAGTGGTCTCTGATACACACTGCAAACATGGATCTGTGAAAGTTTACATCCTGAATTTGGACCCTTTAGTCTAACTCAACTCCCAGAATATTGGGCCAGCCAGGTATATATTCTCTGGTAAGGACTGTAGGACTCTCCCTCCAATGAGCACTGAATACAGAAAGGAGAGGAAAGGAAATAGCCCAGTTAGCTCACCCTATGGCAAAAATTATAGTCAAACAAGTCTACCAGACTCCACAGAGCTATCAATGAATCTACATTTTTATTTTGAGCCTTTGTCACAGCATCTAAATGTATGTATTAACTAATCATATACTGATTAACAACTGTGAAAGGATTTCCTACAAAGGAGTAAAGGGAATCCTTGGAATGGTGATGACGGAAAACCCAAAAATACAACTATGTTTAAGGTGTGTAGAGTGAGCACCAGTACAGTTTAGAGCAGACCAGAAGGTCCCAGGAGAAATTTCTTCAAGAAGATATAACAGATAAACACCTAATGTGTTTGAAAGAATTGAGAGGTTATTTATACAACCAGCAGTAGACAGTTTGGGGCTGAGTTAGTGGTAAGTACATAAAAACTAAGTAAATGTAAAGAACAAACAATTAATTCCCAGTAGGAGGGGACATCTGCAGGAAAGGAAAAATAACAACATATTATATGGCTCAGATACTACTAGGGTCTACATAGTAATAACAATATAAACAATGAAGAGTAATCTAATCGAAATCACAATAATTATATCTGGATGATGGGAAGAATCTGAATGTGGTACGTACAGAGAAGAGGGAACTAAATGGTCATTTCCACAGTGGTAAGTCAATAAACAGAGCCGAAAAATTAAAAATTAAAGGAAATTCTAAGAGTAGTGGAGATAAACAACAAAATTACTAACAGAGGAATAGAAAAGTAATTGCCTCCAAGAATGGAAATTGGGTGTGATGAAAGCAGAAAGAAGGGTAAAAAAAAAAAAAAAGCTATCATTTCTTCAACATGTCTAATACAATTGTTTACTTATACTATTTATATGTATAATGCTGATTTTAAAAAGTAACTAACAACCCCTAAAATCTTAAATAAGGAAGATGAGGGAGGGATTTAATAACAAAGACTAAAATTAATAAATGCAAAATAAAATAAACATTGCAAGTAAATAAGTCATACCTCTGCAGTAAATTTACTTGACACTGGTGTAATAAATCCAACTTTACCATCATTAAATACAACAGCAAACCCATCAAGTGTGGCACAGTATTCCATGTCTCTGATGTGTACATTTGCAAAGTCCAGGAATGAACCTACTGATGAGAAAATAAGTACATGAAATATGAATGTAAAAATAGTAAATAATTTCCTCACATATGTGTTTGCAAACTCTGTAAGGACAGTTACAGGGCAAAACTAGAGACCTAACTACTTCCTACACACATTAACACACACACACACTCTCTCTCACATCCCTTGCATAATTAATTCCAAAGTAGAAAAATCAATGTTCATCCATAGAAAATATCTAACTAGATTACAATATACCAAGTATTAAACATCTGGTTCTATCCCATGCAGAAAGTGTAACTACCTCTGGATGACTGCAGATCTACTGAAAAGGGTACTGTGCAAAGATTAATAGCTTTCCTTCCATTTGTCATTCCTTCCCAGTGAATAAGATGAAGAAGTCCATCAGAAGTAGCAACCAGGAGATCTTCCAGCACAGACTGCAAACTATAGAAAAGTAAGCATTTCAGAATTAATTTCCTTTTAACAGAGCACATTAGGAAAACATTGAGTGTAAACAGAATTGCTCTGGCGAATACTCATGCAGAGAAGATCATGAAACCACTAATAAAACCATCATTCATCACAATTTAGCTACACAGTAGTTCAATCTAGAATCAGAAATTTTGGAAGAAATGAATGATTATGGGCAACCATTGTCACAAACTTGATGAACTGGGTTAAGAACTAGAAATCCTGAAATAGTAAATTAGAAGATGGAAGAGTAAGTGATAGCTGACAAGACAGAGAAACCACAGAAAGAACTAATGACAGGATGACAATCTGGGGCCATGGAGTAGGGGGTAACAATCCTCTAGCCCTGTCCAACAGAACTTTACCCAGTGATAGAAATCTTCTGTATCTGTACTATCAAATATGGTACCTCTAGCCACATGTGATGACTGTACCTGTAAAATGTGGTCAGTGTGACACAGAAGTGAACTTCAGATTGTGTTTACTTTTAACCAACAATGTAAAATAACCCTTTTTTGACTAGTGGCTACTGTCACACTAAAGAGAATAGTTTTGGATCACTGTATTTATAAGAGTATCACTGAGCCTCACATTGTTCATTCATACAACAAACGTTTACTAAGCCCATGCTCTGTGATAGAGATTCACAGACTAAAAAAAATACAGTTTCTCCCTCCCTTTAGAAGACCTCTCAGTCAATCAAGTACTGAAAACTAACAACGTAGTATGGTCTCAGCACTTAATAATATTTGCAAAGAGATTTAACATTCACTTACCTAACAACAAATACACACCTACTTTGGTTATATTACTCTTACATGCCCAGCCCCTAGGGCAGTGCTAGTTATATTTGGCACTAAATGTTTGTGGGAGCAAGGAAAGAAGGGGCGGAAAGGGCAAGAGAAAAGGGGAATCATAAATGAGACTGCAAAGGTACTGGCAGAGAGAAAGAAAAAGAACCAGGGGAACTAGTGGAAATGGGCATCAAGAAAGCCAAGGGAATATTAAGAAAGATTACTCGAGTATCAAATACTATAAAGAATTTAAGCATAAGAAAGTGAAAAAATAGTGTGTCTACAAAATATACTCTATTACATACTGTTAAATTTCCTTTCATACTTAAGAGTTTACTTCAGAAATATTTTAATCCACAGTAGTTAAAAAATGTTTTAATTTTTAAACCTTCAATTCTTTGGAAAGCTGGGTTCAGTGACTCATTCCATAAGGACTTCACACAATAAAGAATTCACTATATTTTCCCCCCAACAAAAATATTGAGTAGAATACATCCTGTTATGCAGCTCCATTTCTTAAACTTCAGAACATTTGTAATCAATTAAAATTCCCAGTTAATAGAAAGTTCACCTTTTCAATTATTGTATATTCTTTTTACTTCAAAATTTATAATTTAGTGATAAAATTTATGTGTAGCATATGGTAGGTAGAATATAAAACCTTCATGTATATTTTAGATCTGCCACTGTATGTCAAGAGGCAATTCAGAGGAGTGATTTCCATTCAGCAGGAGTCAACCTCCTTTTTTTTAAACTATGTTCTTTCTCTTTCCTGCTCCTATCTCCCTAGAAAAATCACTGCACGTGATAGGACCAAGACCAAGGCTACCCTCCAGGAATTTAACTGCTTGTTAGGCAAAGATCAATACTCTATTGACAAAGTTAACAGAATTCAGAATCTCTGTATTATCCACAACGCTGTAACAAGACATAACCAGACCACTGAGTAAACAGGAAAATATGACCTAGAGTCAAGAGAAAAATCCAGTAATATAAATAGAATCACAGACAGTCCTGATGTTGCAATTAATAGATAACTTTAAAGTAACTGCTATAAACATGAGATAAACATTATAAGGAATTTATAGGAAAGGTAATTATATCCTCCTTAATTGAAAATAAATTCATTAAAACAAAAGGCTGAAGTCAGCTGTTCAGTACTACACATTTCCATAAAGGTTAATAAATAGGCCTTATTCCAACCCACCAAGTGCCTACCCACCACCCTCATAGATCCAAAAACTAAAGAACTTAGCATCAAGAGATATCAGGATCCTGTGCCAATAATCAAATCCCATGTCTTTTCATTCTTACTGGTTTTAAAATGCTTTTAAAAAATCACCCCTGGGTGTAAGTACACATAATATACACATAAATATAGTTCCGTCTTTAGAGAGCTTCTCTAATCACTGACTTTATGGGCTTTGTAACAGCTATCTGGTATCCCAGAGGTGCTTTTTGTTTTTGTTTGTTTTTTAAATTTAAGACCTTAGAAGCACAATAGTAGGATCCTGGAAGTAGAATAATCTTTCTGATCAAATATTCTTAGTAGGGGAATAGATGATTCATAATTACCAATTCTCAAATATGTAAATATGTTTAATGCCTAATTACTATTAAGTGCTATATATTACATAGGGTTTTTCTAAGTGCCTGAGATGGAGGAAGATACAGAATAAACTGTGATATTTTATTAGTATTTATTATGTGGCATTAGGTAGAAATAGACTGTTTTAATAATAACTTATATTAGTACTTTTTTACCTTCTAAACATTCATTCTCTATCCTCAATTAGTAACACAGGTTGGATGTTTAACATTAACTCTATTTTCAATCAAAAATTAAAAGATGCAGTACTCTTGACATCTTATCTCTATTAGCAACATTATAACCATTATCCCTAACTTGAAATGATGTACTTTATTGGTAGTGATAGTTGGTTTATAAAGCACAAGTTTCATGTCTTCTCACTCAATTCAAAATCTTACACAGTATCTCCAAATTTCCAGCAAGTACGTGTTACAGGTGCTAGTAGTAACACTGCTCTGTAATGTAATTACTTTACTGAAATTCTGAAAGAAATATTAGAGATTTGCAATCACCTGTATTTGTAGTTTTAAAACTAGCACCTGACAAGTAAAACTTGTTCAAGATTTAAAGGCTCTTCTTCCATCCCTTTTCCATGAATCACACTTTTACCACCAGGTGGAAATAGAAAGCCATGCTTGTACAGTTCCACCTAGCCTGGTACCCACAGACATTCAGAATTCCTTATGCAATAATTATATTCTTGAAAAGAATCTCTAGGCTGAAATAAAATCTGAGATAAAATGTGATTTTCTGACCAAGCTAATGAGTAACCTGGATTCAGATCTTTTGTAATCCTGATCACATTTAAGCAAGTAATAACAAAAGCATTCTTTTTCTAAGATAATATATAGATTAAACAAGGCAAGACAATAGCCAGCCATCTGTGTATAATTTTAGTATGTACCAGTATCTGAAATGTATTTTAGGAAATGGTAAAAAAAAAAAGCCTTTGATTAGAATTGTCAATCAGAAGGATTTAAAAGCATAGGTATTACATTCATATAGTTGAATATATTCATATATTACATCCATATAGTTCAGTATTTAATGAGTTAAAAGTAATGCCTTTTTCTTAAACCTGTCCTCCAGCCACTCAGTTCTCATACTGTTTCTTATGTATTCTTTCATAATACATATTTAAACACTGCCAGCTCTCTTTTAAAAACAAATTGCATTATTTTAAGTACACCTTGTTTTTTTCACTCAACACCATATTTGGGAAGTTTTTTTTCAGTAAAGAGTGTCTTTATTGTTTTTACAGATGAGTATTGTTTCCATTGCACAGATGTATGAAAATTTATTTAGCCAGCTGCCTAATGGACATTTAGGTGGTTTTGGATCTTTTGCTATTATAACAAGGTACAATAAAAAACCCTATAAATATAGCATCTCTGATATGTATTATTATATTTACAGGATTAATTCTAGAAGTAGAAATGTAACTAAACAAACCAAACCACAGTGGTCTCTGATACACACTGCAAACATGGATCTGTGAAAGTTTACATCCTGAATTTGGACCCTTTAGTCTAACTCAACTCCCAGAATATTGGGCCAGCCAGGTATATATTCTCTGGTAAGGACTGTAGGACTCTCCCTCCAATGAGCACTGAATACAGAAAGGAGAGGAAAGGAAATAGCCCAGTTAGCTCACCCTATGGCAAAAATTATAGTCAAACAAGTCTACCAGACTCCACAGAGCTATCAATGAATCTACATTTTTATTTTGAGCCTTTGTCACAGCATCTAAATGTATGTATTAACTAATCATATACTGATTAACAACTGTGAAAGGATTTCCTACAAAGGAGTAAAGGGAATCCTTGGAATGGTGATGACGGAAAACCCAAAAATACAACTATGTTTAAGGTGTGTAGAGTGAGCACCAGTACAGTTTAGAGCAGACCAGAAGGTCCCAGGAGAAATTTCTTCAAGAAGATATAACAGATAAACACCTAATGTGTTTGAAAGAATTGAGAGGTTATTTATACAACCAGCAGTAGACAGTTTGGGGCTGAGTTAGTGGTAAGTACATAAAAACTAAGTAAATGTAAAGAACAAACAATTAATTCCCAGTAGGAGGGGACATCTGCAGGAAAGGAAAAATAACAACATATTATATGGCTCAGATACTACTAGGGTCTACATAGTAATAACAATATAAACAATGAAGAGTAATCTAATCGAAATCACAATAATTATATCTGGATGATGGGAAGAATCTGAATGTGGTACGTACAGAGAAGAGGGAACTAAATGGTCATTTCCACAGTGGTAAGTCAATAAACAGAGCCGAAAAATTAAAAATTAAAGGAAATTCTAAGAGTAGTGGAGATAAACAACAAAATTACTAACAGAGGAATAGAAAAGTAATTGCCTCCAAGAATGGAAATTGGGTGTGATGAAAGCAGAAAGAAGGGTAAAAAAAAAAAAAAAGCTATCATTTCTTCAACATGTCTAATACAATTGTTTACTTATACTATTTATATGTATAATGCTGATTTTAAAAAGTAACTAACAACCCCTAAAATCTTAAATAAGGAAGATGAGGGAGGGATTTAATAACAAAGACTAAAATTAATAAATGCAAAATAAAATAAACATTGCAAGTAAATAAGTCATACCTCTGCAGTAAATTTACTTGACACTGGTGTAATAAATCCAACTTTACCATCATTAAATACAACAGCAAACCCATCAAGTGTGGCACAGTATTCCATGTCTCTGATGTGTACATTTGCAAAGTCCAGGAATGAACCTACTGATGAGAAAATAAGTACATGAAATATGAATGTAAAAATAGTAAATAATTTCCTCACATATGTGTTTGCAAACTCTGTAAGGACAGTTACAGGGCAAAACTAGAGACCTAACTACTTCCTACACACATTAACACACACACACACTCTCTCTCACATCCCTTGCATAATTAATTCCAAAGTAGAAAAATCAATGTTCATCCATAGAAAATATCTAACTAGATTACAATATACCAAGTATTAAACATCTGGTTCTATCCCATGCAGAAAGTGTAACTACCTCTGGATGACTGCAGATCTACTGAAAAGGGTACTGTGCAAAGATTAATAGCTTTCCTTCCATTTGTCATTCCTTCCCAGTGAATAAGATGAAGAAGTCCATCAGAAGTAGCAACCAGGAGATCTTCCAGCACAGACTGCAAACTATAGAAAAGTAAGCATTTCAGAATTAATTTCCTTTTAACAGAGCACATTAGGAAAACATTGAGTGTAAACAGAATTGCTCTGGCGAATACTCATGCAGAGAAGATCATGAAACCACTAATAAAACCATCATTCATCACAATTTAGCTACACAGTAGTTCAATCTAGAATCAGAAATTTTGGAAGAAATGAATGATTATGGGCAACCATTGTCACAAACTTGATGAACTGGGTTAAGAACTAGAAATCCTGAAATAGTAAATTAGAAGATGGAAGAGTAAGTGATAGCTGACAAGACAGAGAAACCACAGAAAGAACTAATGACAGGATGACAATCTGGGGCCATGGAGTAGGGGGTAACAATCCTCTAGCCCTGTCCAACAGAACTTTACCCAGTGATAGAAATCTTCTGTATCTGTACTATCAAATATGGTACCTCTAGCCACATGTGATGACTGTACCTGTAAAATGTGGTCAGTGTGACACAGAAGTGAACTTCAGATTGTGTTTACTTTTAACCAACAATGTAAAATAACCCTTTTTTGACTAGTGGCTACTGTCACACTAAAGAGAATAGTTTTGGATCACTGTATTTATAAGAGTATCACTGAGCCTCACATTGTTCATTCATACAACAAACGTTTACTAAGCCCATGCTCTGTGATAGAGATTCACAGACTAAAAAAAATACAGTTTCTCCCTCCCTTTAGAAGACCTCTCAGTCAATCAAGTACTGAAAACTAACAACGTAGTATGGTCTCAGCACTTAATAATATTTGCAAAGAGATTTAACATTCACTTACCTAACAACAAATACACACCTACTTTGGTTATATTACTCTTACATGCCCAGCCCCTAGGGCAGTGCTAGTTATATTTGGCACTAAATGTTTGTGGGAGCAAGGAAAGAAGGGGCGGAAAGGGCAAGAGAAAAGGGGAATCATAAATGAGACTGCAAAGGTACTGGCAGAGAGAAAGAAAAAGAACCAGGGGAACTAGTGGAAATGGGCATCAAGAAAGCCAAGGGAATATTAAGAAAGATTACTCGAGTATCAAATACTATAAAGAATTTAAGCATAAGAAAGTGAAAAAATAGTGTGTCTACAAAATATACTCTATTACATACTGTTAAATTTCCTTTCATACTTAAGAGTTTACTTCAGAAATATTTTAATCCACAGTAGTTAAAAAATGTTTTAATTTTTAAACCTTCAATTCTTTGGAAAGCTGGGTTCAGTGACTCATTCCATAAGGACTTCACACAATAAAGAATTCACTATATTTTCCCCCCAACAAAAATATTGAGTAGAATACATCCTGTTATGCAGCTCCATTTCTTAAACTTCAGAACATTTGTAATCAATTAAAATTCCCAGTTAATAGAAAGTTCACCTTTTCAATTATTGTATATTCTTTTTACTTCAAAATTTATAATTTAGTGATAAAATTTATGTGTAGCATATGGTAGGTAGAATATAAAACCTTCATGTATATTTTAGATCTGCCACTGTATGTCAAGAGGCAATTCAGAGGAGTGATTTCCATTCAGCAGGAGTCAACCTCCTTTTTTTTAAACTATGTTCTTTCTCTTTCCTGCTCCTATCTCCCTAGAAAAATCACTGCACGTGATAGGACCAAGACCAAGGCTACCCTCCAGGAATTTAACTGCTTGTTAGGCAAAGATCAATACTCTATTGACAAAGTTAACAGAATTCAGAATCTCTGTATTATCCACAACGCTGTAACAAGACATAACCAGACCACTGAGTAAACAGGAAAATATGACCTAGAGTCAAGAGAAAAATCCAGTAATATAAATAGAATCACAGACAGTCCTGATGTTGCAATTAATAGATAACTTTAAAGTAACTGCTATAAACATGAGATAAACATTATAAGGAATTTATAGGAAAGGTAATTATATCCTCCTTAATTGAAAATAAATTCATTAAAACAAAAGGCTGAAGTCAGCTGTTCAGTACTACACATTTCCATAAAGGTTAATAAATAGGCCTTATTCCAACCCACCAAGTGCCTACCCACCACCCTCATAGATCCAAAAACTAAAGAACTTAGCATCAAGAGATATCAGGATCCTGTGCCAATAATCAAATCCCATGTCTTTTCATTCTTACTGGTTTTAAAATGCTTTTAAAAAATCACCCCTGGGTGTAAGTACACATAATATACACATAAATATAGTTCCGTCTTTAGAGAGCTTCTCTAATCACTGACTTTATGGGCTTTGTAACAGCTATCTGGTATCCCAGAGGTGCTTTTTGTTTTTGTTTGTTTTTTAAATTTAAGACCTTAGAAGCACAATAGTAGGATCCTGGAAGTAGAATAATCTTTCTGATCAAATATTCTTAGTAGGGGAATAGATGATTCATAATTACCAATTCTCAAATATGTAAATATGTTTAATGCCTAATTACTATTAAGTGCTATATATTACATAGGGTTTTTCTAAGTGCCTGAGATGGAGGAAGATACAGAATAAACTGTGATATTTTATTAGTATTTATTATGTGGCATTAGGTAGAAATAGACTGTTTTAATAATAACTTATATTAGTACTTTTTTACCTTCTAAACATTCATTCTCTATCCTCAATTAGTAACACAGGTTGGATGTTTAACATTAACTCTATTTTCAATCAAAAATTAAAAGATGCAGTACTCTTGACATCTTATCTCTATTAGCAACATTATAACCATTATCCCTAACTTGAAATGATGTACTTTATTGGTAGTGATAGTTGGTTTATAAAGCACAAGTTTCATGTCTTCTCACTCAATTCAAAATCTTACACAGTATCTCCAAATTTCCAGCAAGTACGTGTTACAGGTGCTAGTAGTAACACTGCTCTGTAATGTAATTACTTTACTGAAATTCTGAAAGAAATATTAGAGATTTGCAATCACCTGTATTTGTAGTTTTAAAACTAGCACCTGACAAGTAAAACTTGTTCAAGATTTAAAGGCTCTTCTTCCATCCCTTTTCCATGAATCACACTTTTACCACCAGGTGGAAATAGAAAGCCATGCTTGTACAGTTCCACCTAGCCTGGTACCCACAGACATTCAGAATTCCTTATGCAATAATTATATTCTTGAAAAGAATCTCTAGGCTGAAATAAAATCTGAGATAAAATGTGATTTTCTGACCAAGCTAATGAGTAACCTGGATTCAGATCTTTTGTAATCCTGATCACATTTAAGCAAGTAATAACAAAAGCATTCTTTTTCTAAGATAATATATAGATTAAACAAGGCAAGACAATAGCCAGCCATCTGTGTATAATTTTAGTATGTACCAGTATCTGAAATGTATTTTAGGAAATGGTAAAAAAAAAAAGCCTTTGATTAGAATTGTCAATCAGAAGGATTTAAAAGCATAGGTATTACATTCATATAGTTGAATATATTCATATATTACATCCATATAGTTCAGTATTTAATGAGTTAAAAGTAATGCCTTTTTCTTAAACCTGTCCTCCAGCCACTCAGTTCTCATACTGTTTCTTATGTATTCTTTCATAATACATATTTAAACACTGCCAGCTCTCTTTTAAAAACAAATTGCATTATTTTAAGTACACCTTGTTTTTTTCACTCAACACCATATTTGGGAAGTTTTTTTTCAGTAAAGAGTGTCTTTATTGTTTTTACAGATGAGTATTGTTTCCATTGCACAGATGTATGAAAATTTATTTAGCCAGCTGCCTAATGGACATTTAGGTGGTTTTGGATCTTTTGCTATTATAACAAGGTACAATAAAAAACCCTATAAATATAGCATCTCTGATATGTATTATTATATTTACAGGATTAATTCTAGAAGTAGAAATGATGGACAAAGACCATGAACATCTGTAACTTTGATAAGATATTTCTTTATCAATTTCCATAGACATTTTGTCAGTTTACACTCCCATCATCAATGTATAAAGTTCTCATTTCCCTATACCCTCCCTAAGACAGTATGTCACCTAACTGTACATATGTATAAGAATCATTTATTTAATTTCCTAATGGAAATCTATTATATAATATATTAACTGGAATACAGAAAGTGAACATAAATTATTTATATTCTTTGTCTATTTGTTCCATTTGTGCCTTTTTCTTATAGCAAATCTTTATGTATTATGGAAACTGGTCTTTTGTGATAGTCACTGTAGGTATGTTGCGTGATTTCAGAATTTGTGTTGTCTTTTGTTCTTACTTATGGCATTTTTTTCCAGGTAGAATTACTTTTTTAACTTTATTTATATAATCTAATTTATCAATGTTTTCTTTATAAAAGTTTATCTGCAGACGTTTGACAGAAAGGTTTTAATGACTTCTAATAAAATGGATTTTAAATTAGAATACTTCTCTTACTAACTTTTCTTATCTTTTTCTTATAGCAAGTCGAGACATTAGAGATAAGAACGGCTGGCCATTTGATGCACACAAGGTTGCAATATCACCATTTTTATAATTTTATGATTGTATATGACTGGGTCATAATACTAGCAAAAGGTTTTGGTTGAGTTGGGGGGGTGGTCCAACTTTAATCTTGGATTCAGTTTCAAAGAACTCTTCATTAAAAAAAAAAAGAAAGAAAAAATAAGAAACTAAACACAAAGTATTGTAGTAAAAAACTTCAAGTTAAAAAATACATTCTAAGCAAGACACATCAGAGACAACTAAAATATCCAATGTGAAGCAACTAAGGAAATAAAGCCAAATCATCAGGACAATCATTTACTTTTTGTTACCGATGGATGTGAAATTATTTTTGGTGTTTTGGTATTTCTCACCTTCTTATTATAAAGCCATTTTATTTACACGTGGATCATACAGCGTAACTTTCTTCCAAGTACGTATACTTCCCAAGAACTTATGAAGGCTTTGGAAATGAAGGCACTTTCTCTTTTCTTCAACTTGTGTGATTTTTATCCGTATCTTTTAAAGTAACGTGGACTGTATTGCACCATTCAAACAATACTAGATCTTACCAAAA